TCTATATATCTATCTATAGGTTCAATCTGGACAAGTCTGGGGGCGCCTGGTGTCCGCACGCACAGCTCAGCGCCGACACGTCCGGTCACGAGTGGATCGAAGTGTCTCTCGGCGACCGACACGTCGTCACCGGAGTGGCCACTCAGGGACGGTATGGCAACGGATATGGCGTGGAGTTCGTCGAAGAGTATTGGATTGAATACTCGCGAGACAACGGTACCACTTGGATCAGATGGAAGTCCACGGAAGGCAATCATGTATGTCCACAGCCCCTACCAGTCCTACTACTTTAGACATCAACGATAGTCTAGTTTTTAATGTCATTTCATATTTTTTTGTGTTTATTCTGACAATAAGTTTGAGAGAAATGTTTCTCTTTTTAATTCATTTCGAGAGAAAATAGATTTAATGTTACATTTGATTGTGTATATTGAGGACAAGTATCCATCATTTGGATGTCCATTACAGGCGCACTCCTATCGGTCAAAGTTTGATCATTAAAGGCGCTGACAGATAGACTCCATGAGCGCCCATATGCTCGCTCTCTCGTATCGTTTATGATGTACTTCGCGATCATTTAATTGCAATATTGAGACAATATTATTGAGAGACACAAACGCAACACAAATATAATTCATTTGTATTTATTTGGAGTTGAGATTAATTTTTCGCTGCCTTTTATCGATCCATTATATAGTCTCGTAAAGCGAAGCAATTATGATTATTATACAATATTTTATTATATAAGGGGTTTTATATCGTATAAGCATTTGGATAGAGAGTTCACAATAAAGACCTGATTTTCATAATACAGTAATAAATAAAAATCCTGACTTCGAGATAAAGATTTGCTCGATAAAGCAGTTTATATAAAACTTATAATGAAAAATGTGTTTAATATTTATTATTAGCGGCAAAAAAATAGTTGGCGTTCAGTAGTCGACCGGCTAAACGAAAATTATTATAATATTTTCTTTGGCTTTGAAATTCACGGCATATTATAAGAGGGAAAGAGATAAAAATCGTTGAGAAAATAGTTGCCTTTTTCTCAATCGCAATCACACAACGATTTTCACCATTAAAACCCCCGCAAAATAAAAACCTCTTATATCTAATATAAATTTATATTCCCCTTGAATTAAATGCACATTTCGTACAATTACATTAACACACAATATATTGCAACGAGTTTTCTAATCAAATAAAAATTATATTTATTTCTCTCACTCTATGCGTGATATTCAAAGAGTTATATAAATATATTTCCACTGATTTTTATCGCATACACTTTGGCACCGATTTCTTGAATCGATATCGCGATCGGACGTAACCATCATTTCCTATAAAATTCATTCCCATTATTGCAGAACTCAATCAAAAAAAAACTTTACGTTTCATATGATAGTAAAGAGTATAGTATAGAAATACCTGTCCCTTTAGCCATACATTTCTATACAGACAAACATAAACTACTAAAAGTTATGGCCAAATGTGTGAACATATTACTATGAATTATGATAGGAATTTCGTATCACTTTTTTGTCCGCAAACAACACTTTATAATAAGAAATAACAAGAATTTATAAGAATTTATAAGAATAAACACTTTTTATTGCATAACGTTATGGTCGAGCGAACCATTCGTTTGCCATTAATAACAATAATATTTGCGGTATTTATTACATAATATGTTTTATCACAAACTCTTTTGTATGCCATTAGTTACTGGAGGGAAATGTGGACACATTGAATGCGGTCGAGCACGAGCTGGATGTGCCCATTGTCGGTGCCAACCGTATCCGACTCTACCCCTATTCAAAGCATTTGCGGACAGTATGTCTGCGATTTGAATTATACGGCTGTCCATACGATGGTATGTACACTATAATGATATTCATTGCATTTATGTTTATTATGTAGATTTATATATGAGTTAAAACTTGCAATGAAAACAGAAAGCATTGCCTCTTATGTTATAAATGGTGAGTGATTTTGGAAATGGATTGCATGACTGCCACCAATTCGGTAGCGAAGGGCCGTAATTGGCTTTCAAAGTCTTAATTTGTGCTTAACTTTAATGTGTATTAATTTCTATCTCTACCCAAAAAACTACATCTAATCAAAATACAAGCCCTAACTAAATATAAGTCTCTCCAAATGTTTTGAGAGTTTAATTGAGTCTCTCTCTCTCTCACTCACTCACTCACTCACTCACTCTCTCTCTCTCTCTCTCTCTCTCTCTCTCATTTAGACAGCGAGAGAGAGCACACTTGAAATATTATTATTCTCATAGCACCGGCAGATCTACCCCTGAAATAAAAAGAGATGGCATTTATTACTAGTGTTATTGATTTTACGATACCATTTGTTGATATCCTTTTGATACACGTCTGTCTCACTGACTCGGTTTGCCCTCTAAATTAACTCAATTTATTAAATAATTTAATTTAAATAAATTAAGACCAGTGAAAGAAAAAACACATTCATTATGTTTTCAAGAAACTACAGACATTGCAATCAGATATTTATTCCCACTTTTTATTAATGATATCCAATTAATACTGCAGTAATAAAAACACAGGATATTATGTACTGTAGGATATAGTGTACTGTAGGATATACTGTACTCTATGCTATACTATTGCATAAAAAACACGAGTTATATATAAATTTAGAAAATAGAGAATAATTACACCGTTAAAAAAATCCTTTAATATATTTTAAAGTTTAAAATGAATTTTAAAGAGTAGTTCAGAAGGAGTTTAAGAATAGTTTTTTCTCTTGAATTTTAATTATGTGAGCCATTATTCAATCAATTATATGCATATAATAAATATATACTGTATATTCCGGTGGTGTATCTCAAGCCCAGTGCTTCACTTAATTAGTATAAGTTAAGAGTAGTATAGTATTGGGAAACATGTAAATATTTCAGCTTTTTATTCATTAGGAGCTAAAATATATTTCTTGAGTCGAAAATATAATATTCATTATTAAGTTTGGATTCGGTTTCGAAACTGAAATTAGAGTTCACTTTAATATATGAGAGAAGACTTCAGGAGAAACTTAAAACTCGTTTCCCAACCAAACGTCGTGTCATTTGGCGAGAGAGAGAGAGAGAGAGAGAGAGAGAAAGAGAGGCTTTATATAAATTTTATGCAATTTTTCTAATTTTGTTATTTTGAAATAATTATATAAAGCCATCAAAAATCTTTCAGACACTGAGCTATCAGTTAAAGTTTCCAGAAATCTAGATTTTATTTCTAGACTTTTTCTTTTAAAAACTTTATTTATTTATTCTTTGACTGGGATTTCATTAAAACTATCTTACGATTCAATCAATAGATTAATCGATTATTTAGTATATTTCAAACCCAAGAAAAATGTTGAGAAAACATATCTCATTTGGATGTTCGCTGCAAACACAGGGGAAAACATAACTTTCCGTTTTTTGATGGCAAAAACAAACAAATAGTTAAATATCTGCCAAACTCTCAGTTCGAGAGAGAGTTTTATTTTTTTGTATTTTTTATATATTCCTTACGATTCACGTGTTTATAGTATGAATACTTTTCTTGTTTTTTGAGTCGATTTTTGAATTTCTTCACTAGTTTTTTATTATTTGAGAGAAATCTTTATTTTATTTTATTTTTCTGTGTATTTTTTCAACTGATTTTTTTCAGTCAAATTCAATCTAATTCTGTGTGAAAAAAGTTGACTGAAAACATAATTTTGCAAAATATATATAAAGAGAGAGAGAATGAAATCTCAATCTTTTTTGATGTCAAAACCAGAAAACACTCTCTTTTTGTTAGTATTTCACAAAAAATAGCAAATATTTTGTTATATAAATTGAGAGAAAAATTCCCGTTTAAATAGAAACTCAAATAAATTATTTAATTAAATACAAAATAAAGAAGTTTTCAGTCTTTTAGCGAGATTTTTATCACATATTTTACTCTTTCTTTTTGTCTGTCCACTAATAAAATGTTTGAAGAGATAAACTGTTTTTTGACCAAAAAACAGAAATATAAGACTCTTATATACAGTGTATAATAACACTTGGATTCCAGTGATGGGAACGGTAGGGATAGATAGGAATTCAACGCACAGTTAGGAATGCTTATCCATAAAACAAAAGCACCAAAAGATTGATTAGTGTTTGAATTAAATATCGATAGTTGAGTGCAATCCTGAATTCAATAGATATAAGAGGCTATGGTTTTGATTGTATGAGCCGTCGAAACGGCATTGATAGCCATTACTTGACTTATTCTGGTAATTGTATTGGTATTGTATGCCATACGATGCCATATATTCCGTATACACAACAAACTAAGCCCTGATCTAAATGGTAGGTCCGGTCGCCTACTCGATGCCAAATGGCGTGAAGGGGAGTCGATTCGGCGACTTAATGGACACAACATATGACGGCCTAATCACCGATGGCGGACATCTGAGCGGAGGTGTGGGCCAACTGGTCGATGGCATCAAAGGACTGGATAATTATAAAATCAATAAAGCGTTTGAATGGATCGGTTGGCAAAACAGCAATAAAAGCGTGGAAATCGTGTTTGACTTCGAGTCGGTCCACAACTTCACCACAACCAGCATTAATTGTCACAACAGTTTCACCCGAGATGTCCGCGTATTCTCGTCGGCCCTCATCTGGTTCAGCATCGATGGCGTCAAGTGGTCTAACGTTCCCATTAAATACAGCTATCAATCGGATCACACGCTGGAGAGACCCAGAGGTTAGTGGCTGTCGACACATATATATACTCCTATTCGCAGCTCAACTCCTATTGTCTAAGTGTTTAATAAAACTCTTGATTTGATTTATTTGATTGATTGCCGCGAATTACCGCTGCTTTCTATCAAGAGATGTGCCTTTCGTTGCAATTATTCTGATGCCTATGTTTTCAATCACTTTTCACTGCAGACGTGATAATACACTTGCAGTATAGGATCGGACGGTACGTGAAAATGAGTTTCAGATTCGGTGCCCAATGGCTACACATCAGCGAAATTGCTTTCGACTCGCAGTCGTTAGTCAACTCCACGGCAAACATCACCCAATTGTTTGACTTCGACGACAACTTAGGATTAATTAGTAACTTAAGTGTTAATAATAACTCGTTGTCTCCGATGGCAACTCAAGATTTCGATCAGACGACTATGAAGTACTCGCTGCTGATCATCACATTAGTCACGTTAAGTGTGGTGGTGCTGATGGTGGTGTCCTCGTTCATGATGAGGGCCTACCAGACCCGTAAGGGCAATGTGTTTCGCGAGATCTCCGACACGGACCTCGAGTCCGAGAACCAGACGGTCACCATGAAAGACATACCGAAGATAACGACCCCTCAGACGCTGCTGTACTGCGAGCCCAAGGATATGTCGCCCACCGAGGAGGAGGCCGAGTACGCCGTGCCCGACGTCATCATAGCCAACGGCAAGACAAAGTCACTATCGATGCCCACATCCAAGTCCATCAAAACTAATCCCAGATATTACGCCTCCTCTGAGATAATTAAGCCGAAACACACCACAAGTGACAATAAGTACCCGAAACAAGTGCTCAATCACTACGAGTCGGCCAACTATTCCTCGCAACAGACGCCCCTTTTGACCACTTTTATGGCCAACAATCAAAACACATCCCATTATCACACGAGGAATGGCTCATCGCTGGACGGTTCCCATCAGATCAAGATCTACAGCGAAAACGATGTGTTTGTGTTCGAGAAGATCGGGAACTCCAAGTTCGGGGACGTCTTGTTGGCCAAAATGAACGACACGTACCGCAAGACCAGTGACACAGTGGTGGTGAAGGCGCTCAATCAGCCCCACCTCAAGCAGGAGTTCATCGACGAACTCAAACTCTTGTGTCAATTATCTCAAAATTGTGATAAGTTTGCCAAACTGTACGGCGTTTTAGACACCACTGAGTGCTTCGCGATGTTGTCTGAGCCGGGAGATTGCGATCTCAACGAGTTCTTGAGGGAATGTGATCCCAGTGTTATCACGTGAGTGTCTCATACATACACCATATCTTTGATCTTTGAAACACATATTTTTTGCTAAACATTACCACAGAATCCATGTCAACGGCGACCTCTCTCTCTCTCTCTCTCTATCGCGCCGACTGTTTATATAAATAGCATTTCTCTCACTCTTATTAAGTAATCGTTTAAACAATTAATTTATAATTTACTAAATCATATGAGAAGTGAACTCCTTTCCAGAGCATATAAATAGCAGATTTAAGTCCAACAGATCCCACATAAGAGTTAACCGCAATCTGTATGGACCCGTCTATCTCTCTGACCCCTACCCGTGCGCTATAAATAGGCGGAAATAAAAAATATAATTATGCTAATTAAGTTTTTTATTTTTCATAAATATTTTTACGATTCACTTTAAATACTAAATACATATTTCAAAGTCTAATTTTACTGCAATGATAGGGCGAAGTGTTTTCACCTCAACAGTACTATACGTTTCTCTATTTTTAATAACAATAATAGGCTTAATCTCTAACTCTATATGTGTTTCATAATAATAATAATAAAGTAAAAATTAATTGCCATAATGGTTAAGTATTTCGAGGCATTAAATACATACAAACGTCGGCCAAAAACACTGTTATTAAATATAATTAAAGTTTTTTTTTCGTTGTGTTGTGTTTCGTATTACTATTAACGACACGACAGAGAGTAGTGAAGAGTAGAGACAATACGAGAAAAGACAGGAAAAAGTTATTTATCTTTCGGTTCATAAGTAATTCGTGGAAAAAATTGCTTTAAGAAAGAGTTGTGCCTTTCATAGCAAAACACTTTCCAGTCGTTTGAATACAAAAATTCATTTGTTGTCCAAAATGAAAACTAATGGTCTTTTCGCTCAAAGACTATTAACTCTAAGGTGTAATGTATTCACAAATTTTATTTTTTAGACTCCGATGTTATGTTAACAGTGTTTGTAAATTGTTTTTTACTTGAGGTGCCGTTTGATAAACTATTTTTGTATGTAACCCTTTGGAAAAAAGGTCTGGAAAAGTCCCCCACCATACATATAAATAGGTTAATAATTAAACAAATACTACAACCGATAGCGAGAGATATGAAGGCATTTAGAGGTGAATAACAAATCAGTTATAAGTCTTATAAGAGTTATTTGAATTCAAAAACGCTGTAAACCATAAAATATATGAGTATTTTCTCAGATTAGTTAAGTCTGTGATTATAATAATCATCTTATAGTACATAAGCAGATGTCGTAATTTATCACAAATTTATTGCTAATAAATCTGTTGAGGGATTTGAGGAATTCCTTTTGGAAAGGCATACTCTCTTATGAGACATAAAAACACTGTTTTCAGACCTAAAATACACTTATTTTTAAAGGAATTAAAATCCATACAATTTATTACTATTTATATGACTTTATCATAGTAATATCAAATATACGTTTACAGTAGTATTAGGCTAG